CAGACACTGGACACGATACGTAGGGTGAGGGTGATTACGGTGATTGTCGAAGATACACAACACACCGACACCGTCGGCCCAGTCATGATTCTGGAGTAGGGAAAAGAAGGTATGTCTTTGAAATACCAGGGGAAAGGAGATGGGCGAGAGATCTAGGAATCGAGGTGTGAGGTGTTGGGCTAATATACGCAGGTAAAACATGTTGGAACCTGATAACCAACAAAATAGGTATATTGTTGCAACATTCGAAAACATGTACGTTGTCCGACTTAGTTTTCGAATAACCACAAAAACAACAAGACAAATCAGGGAGTCATCTGCCAACCGTGTTCCCAATCCCGCTCACCCTAGCATCGACGCTCGAGACTGACATTTAGAAGACTAGGAGGTAGGCAACGTATAATGTTCAAAGTAAGGAATTGCAAGGTTGTATATAGTGAATAGTGAAGCAAACGTCCAAACCCCAACCTATCGGTGGAAAACAACCCATTTACAAGACGCAGAAAGACGAGCAGGAGCCTCATGATGCACTCTGAAGTCGATTTCAAGAAGCCATGGCGAAGGCGAGATATGAGATTATCAGCGAGGAACTCCGAATGTTTTATATAGCAGTGGCACAGCCATAGCCGCGAAATCCAACGAATACGGAGCAGGAAATGGAGCTGGTGAATGAGAAATATATAGTGGTATGATGTCCATCTCATATAGTCAGTGATTGGATTGCTACCAAGTGCTACTAGCAAAGCCAACAGAAACGTCACGTATCACGCCCCACGACACTCACACGTGCCGCAAGCCTGCTGACTTTCCAGGCCCCCACTCAGCAGCACATTTTCAATGTCCCAGTGACCTTACAGAGCCTGAAAATTGTATGATAAAAATGGCCTTGGCACGGCCGTTGGGCAAGTTGAAATGGGCGGGGAATTTGGGGGCTTCTTGTGTTTTGTTCTCGTGACTACATCACTAGTATATATGAATATCGGCTACTTTGTGTTTGCGAAACTGAGGAAAAAGGCAAGGTGTGTGTGTGTAGAAGAGAGATATATAAATTCAAGAACAGGACGGAACAAAGTAGGAGTGGAGCGAGTGGTCATGTTAGAGTTGAAAAGGGCGGAAACAGTGCTCTAGAACACTGTAGATGGTGTAGGTAATAAACAATGGAATAGATAGTCTAATCAAAGCTGACTACTTACTATTTGCGCAGGAGATCTCATGCTATCCACACATGATTTACAATCCCGCAAAGAAAAAGACCAAAATAATCATTCTCCGTTTCTATCACTAGATGCAGCCTCATAGCTAAATCGCCCAAACTCCTCATCCACCATATCTTTCTCCCCATCAACACTACTTTCTGTGTCATCACTGTACCTTGACGAGCTCTTTCTAGCTACCGTGCCCGAAGCTGAGACTTCACTCGCTGCGCTCAAACTCGCACGCGTGCTGACGTTCTCATGCTGCGGCGGAGTATCGGTGAGCGGGTATGTGTTGCGTCTGCTGCGAGTGCAGGTTGGCAAGGTATCATCGATGATGGGAAGAGTGGGGTTGTGTGTTTGCAGAGGCGATACTGGGGAAACGGGAAATTCACAACTGAACCGTGGTGGCAATGTCTTTGGCGGTTTTGGTGACATGGCTGTTTTCTCTTCACTGTTCATCTCGAGTGTCGCTAGGGCATCTGTAACTGCGTTGCCGATGTCGACGTCGTTGAGTTCAGGACTGCCAACCTCAGATGTATCTTTTGGGGTGCCTCTGCGGGACGTCGGGTTCTGATGTTCGAGAACGGCGCCGGATCCGCGAGGTGGTGCAGCGTCTGGTAATGGCCATTCGGCTGGTATTTCAGGAACAGGAGGAATGTCCTCGCCAATTGTCCTGCGGTCGTTGAGGGTTGTCCTGGACGAGGGCGCATAGGAAATACTGGTGTGAGTACTAGAAGATCCGCTAGATTGCCGTCTGATTTTCCAGCTTCCTGTCTTCTGGTCCACCTCTAGTATCGATGAAGGGTAGCGCAGCGAATCGGCCAGTGTTTTCGCCTCCTCGAAAACTGACGATTGATATTGATGTAGGGTCTGGCTGGAATCGCTTTGATGGATCATGGGTGGGCACGCAGTATCACCGGATTCTGCGAGGCCTTTTGCACTCTCAGGCCTATTGGAATCGACGCGCCTGCCCGAGTAATCGCCTGGCCTCCTCGCACCGTTTGGGATGTGGAATCGCAGATCGACACGTGTAACAGCATATATAATGACGACCGCCATTTCAGTGACGAAGTTAAAGATATAGAAACATGCTTTGGACAGATACCATGGCAATGTGTTGGTTCCACTCAGGTCGAGCAACGCTGTCTGTGGGATCCAAGCCAGGACACAGCGGAAGATCTGTCCCGTCAAGAGTATCATCACAGCGATAAGTAGAACGGCTATGTTGACCCTGAGTCTGCCAGCTCCGAATTTCTCGACTTCCATGCGAGGAATGATAAGAGACGTGGCTATCAGAATAACCGGGGCGAAGCAAAAGATGGCAAAGTATGTCTGACTTGCAAGAAACAACGCGCGAAAAGTGTCCAATCTTTCCTCATTCAAAGTAAAGTTGCGGGAAACCTGCGATACGATGAGTATAATCAGAGTGACGATCAAGCACACGAGAGCAGCGCGATGAAAGACGCGATACGGAGTAGACCATCCGAGACGTGCATGTTGTGCGCGGACGATGCGCTGGACGAAGAACCAGTTTGCCATGTACAAGATGATGGTTCCCACGTAGACGAATATGTTTGCTGCCATTGCTAGGCCGGTGTTTCCAGGATAGCAAGCCCAGGCTATGCGCAAAGTCATCGTGATCAGTCGAATCTTGCACAGTCCTGTTCCCGGTCAGTTGGAGTCTTCAAGGAGAGTATGACTGGACGCACCCAGTATTGCGCCATTGAAGACGAATTTGTGTCCACGCTGCTTGTTCTTCTTGAAGATTACAATGTGGACGACACCAAAAATGAGGTACAGCACAAAGAAAATGACCGAGATCGGGACATCGGGTTCCACACTGGGCGTACCACCAAGCGCTACCTCGCGAGGGGGATAAGGAGGCCCTTGACCGAACTATTCTTGTCAGTCACGAGGGAGATGACCCGATGCTCGACGCAACTCACTGCTAGATCCTGAGTGCCAGACATGCCTGCGAGACGAACAACACAGCGTTAGTTGAGAGAAGAAGGATATGGGAAACCAGCTTGCCAATTTCTGGGCTGGGACTGCATGGCGTATATCAAAGCCACGGGTACACAGTGAACCTGGCCGGCTTAGATGGGACATGCATGGCTCAGACTTTCGTCCAGACTGGATTAGCTCTTCCAATGACCACAGTGTCTGTAAGATCCATGTTTAGTACCGTATGACCGGGTGGTGTTTCCTGTGGTAAGCCAGTGGACATTCTCATCATGATGATGCTTGGATGCACCGCCTTGCTCGATTGGGGTTCCGGCGTAGACTGTACAGTATCACCAGAGCCATAGCTCGCAGCCGATCGACAGGAAAACTGTCTTTGTATAGTACCGGTAGGTATGCTGTAGTCTCTCGAAGCGGCATCCACTCGATTCTGTCGGGTGCTTATTCTAGAGATCCACATGTGTGCTAAAGCTCATCACTATCTCCTGGTCGAGCAAGGGCAACCACCAGCAGGCTACCTGATGGGGCGGGGCGTCAACTGTGCTGTGACAAGACGCCTTTGTCTTGACGTGTTGAAGGCTGATGGTTGTACCGGTACCATCGGCTCTCCGCGTTGTGGCCGGGATATGCAAGGGGATCAAGGGGATCAATGTTGGTTTGTAGAAGCGGGCGGGCCTTCCCGCCCGAGAGACGCTTGCATCGGCGTGTAAATGGAGTGAAGATCCGATCTCACCAAATCAACCCAATCTGGAATCCTGAGTGAATGTCAACATACCCGTACCAGACCATACCAGAGACCTGTACTCGCTAATCAGCTGACACCGCATATACACGTCGCATGATTTTGAAGACGGAGGGTGCAACCATTGACAATTGCGCGTCATGGTGCTTTCACTTGCTCGGCGCGGACAAACATATCGGACAAGCCCCCTGGCTCTCTGAATCTCTGGCCATGAGCATCAACATGATCAACATTTCCACCATCACTCGACCATCCTGCACGCACGCCGCCAATGCTTCTCCGATCATAACACAACGCCACCAAAATGCCACCAAAGGGCAAACAACGCGCTCTTGCGGCCACCAAACCCACAGCCAAATCCATCCCCTCACCCTTCACCCCGGCGCCCTCTGAGCTCTCCACCCTCCTCTCCACCTTCGATCCTTCGGCCGTCTACCTAATTCACACCGATGTCCTACCTGCAGCACACAAAAAGAGCATCTTCATCGTGCCCGTCATACTCAACCTTTTCTTTAGCCTCGTTTTGCCATGGCGCGCATACTTTGCTATCCCATACTACTGGGCCCTTATCCTGTCTTTCCTCGGGAATCCCAACGAGACAACCATATACTACGATAGAACACCCTGGGGCGCGCTGGTAGGGAAAGTGATGAAGCGGATGTTGGTGTTCTTGGCCGACTTCATGCTCTTCCGCATTGTTGCTCCGTGGCCGTGGACATTCTTCGCGGAGAGCCCGGGTAACCCTGCGTCCTGGCGCTGGAACGTTGGCTTCCGCGACGAGGAAATTTATGTGAGACAGAGTAGGGGCTGGGGCGCTGCAGATCTGTTGGGAGCAGCGGAGGGCGCGTCGGGGAAAGCTGGCGAGGACAGTCCATTTTTCAAGACGAGGATCCTACCAGCGGTGGACAAGGAGAGGCTGAGGCAGAAGACGGGCTATCTGTTGATGGACGCAAACTTTGATCTAGACTTTTATGGGATGATAGCTGCGACGCAATTGGTTGATCGCAAGGACATGACCATGGACTATTTGAAGAAGAGCGTGTTTGTCTGCATTTGCGACAAGAAGGGCGAGGAAGGCCAATGGGCCATGTGGGATTGCTCCAAACTGGATCAGGGTTCGGAAACGGAGGCGAGGGACAAGGTCATACTGTTCAAGGACAAGTTGACAGAGATGGGCAAGGAGAGTCTGTTTTTCAAATGGGTCGAGTTGATTCAGTACGAGAGTAGTGCGCCTGGTGGGTTTACAGAGGAAAGGCAGATTGCTGCGGCAGAGAAGGCCAAGAAGATGTTCAAAGATGAGGGTGTGGATTTTGAGGAGTTTACCAAGGACATTGGAGGCATGGAGGGTATGCCAGGTACGTAGTAGTAGTAGTAGTAGTAGTAGTAGCTATATCATGCTTCTACCATGATAGCGGCCCCCAAGACTGCCAAGATGTATGTATAATATGATTATACCAAGACAAGACAGGTACTGGGAGACTAGTGTTGCCAGTGGTTTTTTTTAAAAAAATTATAATAATAACAAAAATAATGGCATTGTAGAGCAGGTGCTGCAGAATAATGGTCCTGGAGAAGAGATCATGCGGTAAAAGTTGGAGTGTAGTTGGCTGCATTCACTAGCATCTGTCTTACTCACATTCCATGGCATCCGTCCAGTGAACCGTTGGGCTATCTGCGTACCGTAACGTCGAGGGCGGCTGGCTCCCCTGCAGCGATCTTGTTGCGCACGTTCGCCGACGAAAAGTCACGACGCGTTCACCCGGGTCGACGAGAAGACTGTTGTCAAACAAGACTGCACCACCGGCCCATGGATGTGATTGCTTGTGACACGGGCCACTACCGTACCTAGAGCACCAAACACCGTTCCAATAAAAAAAATATATACCCACAGCATCGCATAGCGAGTAGTATGCACTGCTCCAACCATTTCATCGCAACCTCATGACGACGCGCCAGCCCCTCCAGCCGCTTGCCCCGCCGTCGACCAACACGATCAACACAGGCTACACACGCCTCACTACACAGCGCGCCAATGGAAAGATGGCCGTGGTGGAGGAGCCAGTAGAGGAGGACATGGGCTCCGTCTCCGGCCTGAGCTCCCTCGAGAATGATGCCGACGACTTTGAGAAGCTCATGATCCAAAATGCGCGCGATGAACGGCGGCTGAGCGAGGCGTTGTATGGCAGACCTCAGGCGTTCCGCAAAGCGCGGACACATCCACGCGTTGGCTTGACCATGGACAACCTCGAGAGGAAGAACGCGGGCGATGCTGCAGGGCCGTCGTCAGACACGCAGACCAAGTTCCGAACTTCGCCCAGCAGCAGCGGCTCAGCAAGATCAGACCCGGCCATTCACGCGCCACCCACCTGGGGCAGGAAGAGCAGGACTAACAGGAACTGGATGAGGGCCATCACCTTCGAGGCAGAGCAGGAGCAGCAACAGCAGCAGCAGCAGCAGCAGCAGACCGTGGCCGCACACGAGGAAAATAACGGCCACTGCGAAGAAGACTACCAGCCACACATGGACGGTGCAACAACGCCCACGTCCAACCGTGTGCACCGCTCCGTCGAAGACAGCCCGCTTTCACGCAAGGGCTCCTCCATACATGGCGCCCCAAACGACGACCGGTCGGGGGAGTGGGACCTCACATTCGAGCTCAACGAAGCCTCCATGATTGCTTCCACGCCATACATACCACGAAGCACGAGATTAGACGACATCAGACAACGAGAGATGGAGAGCTTGCGCGAGCAGCGCGAAGCTGCGGCACGAGAGGAGAGGCTGCGGGACGCGAGACAGCGAGTAGGAGAAATGCCACGGTCACAGTCGTAGCCAAAGTCACGCGTGC